CCCCGGGGAGGGGCTCGTCCGCTCGCAGGTGATGGACGAAGCCACCGCCCAGCGCCTCCAGGAGGGCCTCACCTCCATCGAGGAGGTCTCCAAGAACCTGAAGACGTTCCTGGAGGGCACCAGCTGCATCGCCGGTGTCTTGGTGGACTCCACGAAGGAGCGGCTGTCCGTGTACCAGGCCATGAAGAAGGGGATCATCCGGCCGGGCACCGCCTTCGAGCTGCTGGAGGCACAGGCGGCCACGGGCTACGTGATCGACCCCATCAAGGGCCTCAAGCTGACGGTGGAGGAGGCCGTGCGGATGGGTATCGTGGGCCCCGAGTTCAAGGACAAGCTGCTCTCCGCCGAGAGGGCGGTCACCGGCTACCGGCTACCGGGATCCCTACTCCGGAAAGCTCATCTCCCTCTTCCAGGCCATGAAGAAGGGCCTGATCCTGAAGGACCACGGCATCCGCCTGCTGGAGGCGCAGATCGCCACCGGCGGCATCATCGACCCTGAGGAGAGCCACCGCCTGCCCGTGGAGGTGGCCTACCAGAGGGGGCTCTTCGACGAGGAGATGAACGAGATCCTGCTGGACCCCAGCGATGACACCAAGGGCTTCTTCGACCCCAACACGGAGGAGAACCTCACCTACCTGCAGCTGATGGAGCGCTGCGTCACCGACCCGGAGACGGGGCTGCGCCTCCTGCCCCTGAAGGAGAAGAAGCGGGAGAGGTGAGCCCCCCCCCAGAGCCCCCCGCCCGCAAGCGCCGGGTGGTGATCGTCGACCCGGAGACGGGCAAGGAGATGTCGGTGTACGAGGCGTACCGCAAGGGCCTCATCGACCACCAGACCTACCTGGAGCTGTCGGAGCAGGAGTGCGAGTGGGAGGAGATCACCACCTCCTCCTCCGACGGCGTGGTGAAGTCCATGATCATCGACAGGCGCTCGGGGCGCCAGTACGACATCGACGACGCCATCGGCCGGGGCCTGATCGACCAGTCGGCGCTGGACCAGTACCGCTCGGGCACCCTCTCCATCACCGAGTTCGCCGACATGCTCTCCGGCAACATGGGCGGCTTCCGGTCGCGCTCCTCCTCCGTGGGGTCGTCCTCCTCCTACACCACCAGCCCGGCCCCGGTGCGGA